TGTGGTAAAATGGATGAGAATCTTTCTATCCTTAAGAAGAGGTTTCGGGTTCTAGTCTTGATAATGGATAAACTCCTGGTGTAGAGCCTTCACCCTTTGGTGACACTAAGGGTCCAAAGGCGGGTTCAGGATTTTGAGCATGAATTCAAGTTAGTTAAACCATTGAGTTTCGGATGTCAGGTGGTTAGAAGTTCTTTTTTTTCCTTTTGCTTTTAGCTGTTTGATTTTTTGACTTCTCTTGCTCATCAAGAGTCCACAGTAAATGCCAGTATTGCAGATTTGGACTTTGGACTTGTGTGTAATTACATCAGTGGAACATTTGCAGGGTCAATTTAAGCACAACGTAGAATAATTTCATACAAATTAAAAAATCAATCTGTGGGAGAGAAGAAGAGGAAATGGCTCATGCTGCCGTCATATCTCTTCAACAAAAACTACAGGAACTGCTGAAAGGTGACAATTCTCGTTACCCTGCATTACGTCAAGCAGTCAGTTCTTGGCATGCATTTTTGGCAGACTCTTTGTCGATTAGAAATGCTCCAGAAGAAGTGGAACATTTGGAAAAGCAGGTTAAATGTATGGCAACTGAACTTCTAGGTAGCATCGACTTATATGAATTGAAAAAGAGTACAACTGGCCATTTCTATCCAAAAAATTGGGAATTGTTCCAGAAAGAGGTAGTGACTGCAGGTTCCGATAGCATAAAGGCATATTTGATGAAGGTTATGAATTCTCGAAATGATTATGATGCTCTACTAACACGAGATACTGTGGAGAGGGATTCAGAATACAGTCCCCATCTCAAAGCTACTGTGTTAGACCTTGATAATGACTTAATGACTGTCAAATCTCGGCTTATAGGGCCTCATTCAAAGCTAGATGTCGTCTCAATTGTTGGCATGGGAGGGATTGGCAAAACGACTCTTGCTAGAAAAGTTTATGATGATATTTATATGGAGCATCACTTCTACATTCGTGCTTGGATTACTGTATCTCAAATGCATCAACTTAGAGAAATGTTGTTGGGCATTTTGCGGTGTTTTTCACTGGTCAATGATAACACCTACCTAAAAAGTACTGAGCAATTGGCAGAACAAGTTTACAGAAGTTTAAAAGGAAGGAGATATCTCATTGCAATGGATGATGTGTGGGACACCACTGCATGGGATGTCGTGAAAAGATCTTTTCCAGATGATAAAAATGGAAGTCGTGTCATACTTACTAGTCGGCTAGCAAATGCTGGTATCTATGCTAGCTCAAGCAGCCCTCCTCATTACATGCGGTGCCTAAGTGTGGACCACAGCTTGAAGTTGTTCAACTTAAAGGTGTTTGGAGTGGAGACTTGCCCCCTTGAACTGGAGAAAGCTACAAAGCAAATTGTCGAGAAATGTCAAGGACTACCACTAGCAATAGTTGTGGTGGCTGGATTTTGTTCCAAGATCAGCAAGACGGAAAATTGTTGGGAAGACGTAGCACATAAAATTGGTATGATTGTGAGTAGGGAAACAGAAGAATGCATGGACTTACTTGCCTTGAGTTATAAACATTTGCCACATCACTTGAAACCATGCTTTCTATATTTGGGAGCTTTTCCAAAAGACTTTGAGATTAGTGTTTCAAGACTAATCAAGCTATGGATTGCAGCAGAATTTCTAGAACACACATTTGAAATGGACTTCGAAGAAGTTGCTGAGGGATACTTAAAAGATCTTATAGATAGAAGTCTAATTATGGTTAAGAAAAGGACCTCAAGTGGCAAAGTCAAAACATGTGAGGTTCATGATCTGTTTCATGATTTAATCATACGAGAAGCATGGAAGGAGAGATCAATCTACTTTACTAAATCAAATGTGATTCTTTCTCCATCAGTGGCATCTTTTGAGCATCGCATCATTTTCAATTTTCACAGAGTCTCATTGACACGTTTAGAGATCATTTATGATCAACCTTCACTTCCTCATGCAACTTCCTTTCTTTGTTTTGGAAGAGATGGAACTCCTGGATCCTGTTCTCAGGTTGATTCGTTTATCACCTCTACTAACTTCACATGGTTAACAGTTTTGGATATATGTTTTCAGCCATTTGACCATCTACCATGTGAAATATGGCAACTATCTTCATTGAGGTATCTTGCCCTTGCCAGTTTTACTGTGCTCCCTCCATCAATATGCAATCTTAGGTATCTTCAGACACTAATTCGTTACAGTCACCAGGCTAGTATTTGTTTGCCGGCAGAGATATGAGAGATTAAACAATTAAGGCATCTCTATTTCAGGAAATGTTGCTACTTTCCTAACATTCAATCTGAACAAAAAGATTATCCGGGCAAGTCTAGTCACTCTAATCTTGCATTAACCAGGCTGCCAACCTTTTCTTATCATCCGGGTGAGTTCAGTCGCTCTAATCTTTCACTAACCAAGCTGCAAACCCTATCTTACATTACCTTTGCTAGTATTAAAAGCCACATCTTCAAAGGCATGCCCAAACTGAAGAAGTTAGGAATTCGTGAAAGTGAAGAAGAGCGCTTGACTGCTAAACAAATGTCTGAGGAACTCAAGAAGCTGGTTCTGTTGGAGAAACTTGAAACACTCAAGTGTTTCTTTATCAAACCATGGATACTTAAACAATGTGATGTTTTCCCACCAACCCTCAAGAAATTGACGTTGCGGGGGTGCCAACTTCCATAGAACCAAATGACAATACTCTGCATGTTACCCGAACTAGAGGTGCTTAAGCTCAAGGATTATTCTTTCCAAGGATCAGAATGGGAGTCAACTGACGAACGTTTTCAACAGCTAAAATTCCTACTGTTGGATGGAACTGATCTTATCCACTGGATAGTCAATTCTATTCAATTCCCTAAGCTCGAGAGTCTTGTTTTGAAGAACTGTTATTGCCTCTCTGAGATTCCTGATGATGTAGCGGAAATACCTACATTGCAGTTCATTGAATTGTATCATGTAGCCCTTCTGCTGATGTCTCTGCAAATAGGATTCAAGAAGAACAACATAGCATGGGAAATGAAGATCTTGTGGTGCGAATCCACAAATTTTATAACTGTAAGTTTTACATGCATTCGTTGAATCAACGCGTATACCATCTTATTTTGTTCTATCTAAACCATAGTATATTTCCGCATTCTGTTGCAGCTGAAACTTAAGGTCTGCGTTCATTTCACCTCAACAAGCATATATAGAGGCTAATGCAAAGGTTTCAACTTGTAAACTTCTAATTCTTTTGTGATTGCTGAGGAAATCAAGATTTATTTAGGTTGTATTAATGATACAAAACCTTTTTTTGTCCCAGGAATGATTCATCAACTTGAATTTCTTTTGGGATGTTACTATTGTGCATAGTGCATACAATGACGGACTTTGATTTGTTGCACTTGAGCTGAGGGTCGTTCGAAAAAAGTCTATCGGTTTACATGAGGTAGGGATAAGGTTTGCGTGCACTCTACCCTCCTCATACCTTACCTTTGGAATTATATTGGATATGTTGTTGGTGGAAAATAGAGTGTAGATAGGACGGCTGCCTACAGGTGGTAGGGTAGAGTGGGTGGCATTGCTTTGCAGCCAATCTTTCTAATTGTGGGTGGGCTGGGTTTAGAGAGAGTGAAATTGATTACTATCTCGTAATAACGTTGAGACAATTAATGTATGAGATCTACTCAATGCTAGATCAGTTGTCTCGTAATAAAACAGTCGTTGCTGATTTTTTTTCTCGATTCCTTCTTCCAAAAACTACCATAGCTTGGAAAAACAAAAAATAAGAAGACCCTATGAAGAATATGATAAAAAAATTCATAATAGAGTCTCATCACAACGATCAAGTTAATTATCTTCATAATTACTAGATTACCTAATATTTTATAAAATTCCAAAAGGATAGCATCTTATAAAAATCACACCAACTTTAATTTATGCATGCTGCAAATTAATAAAAGTAATAATAACAAGTAGGGGTGAGCATCAGTTGGTTCAGTATGATTTTATGTTTTATCGGTTTGGTTCGATACTTGATTTTTAAATACGTCAAATCAATAAGATATTTTTTAATTGATTTTGGTCCTTCTCGGTTCGGTTTTCGATTTAACCAATAAGAAAATGCTTATAAAATAAATTTATGACTTCTCCAATAATTTGACGCTACAAGACAATGATGCAACTTTACAAACACTCATAAAATTGAAACAACAATAGCTAACATGAAAAGAACTATACAAGTGTAACATGAAGAGAAATTAAGAGGAATATGGTTCTTACTTTAGTTTTTAATATTTTGGATAATGTGAAGTTTTGAACTCAAAGTAAGTGTGAATTGAAGGCTAAAGGGCAATGCAGTAACCATGAATGTATTGACTATTTTAATATTATGTAGGGATAAAATAGTAAATTACTACAATTTTAACGGATAATCGGTTTACCCAATAACCCAATATTAAAAAATTAAAACCACTAATAACTCGATATTTTTTTTATAAAATCACTAGCATTTTTCGATTCAATTTATTGATCGGTTCAATTTTTACACACCCCTAATAACAACATTGGACGGGTGTTCACAAAATAAATAAAATAGAATCAAATCAAATCAAATTAAATATGAAAAATCAAACTTAATTAATTTGTTTGATTTAAACATTTAAAAATTATTTTAGAGTACTTTTTAAGAGAAAAGTCAACCCAAATCAAATTGTGAACACACCCCTTATGTTGAGTATGATTGGAGCAAAATAATTTTTTTCTTTATTCTTACACTGAAAAAGGTTAATTTTGTCTTACATGAGACAAAATGTAGTAATTTAATCTATTGATAAGGTTTTTTCAACAAATGTCCAAAATTTCCCTTTATTTGGCCCTCAAGTCATAAGTTTTTTCAACAAATGTCCAACTTCTCTAGATACTAGGGTGAGGAGGCCCGTGGCAAGCACGGGCCCAATAGTCAAAATATTATGGTTGTAAAAATATTTTAATATTAATGAATCAAGGGTGAGGGCATTTGTAGAAGATGGATAATATCATATATTATATTATGTACTATTTGAAATATTCAGAATATGTACAATAGACATCAGTATGATGTCGATTTGAACGATTTGCACATACTAACTAATGTAATACAACCAAAATAATATAGTACATGTTGCAGTTTTGCTATATAAGATTAGCATGTCATTGTTTATCATATTTAGAGGACGCTGCAGTTTGCCTCTCCATAGCTAATCTTCGTCATTCAAAAAACCAAAGCATAGGGAGAGTCATTCATTATATTGTCCCTATTATAAGCAAAAGTGACAAAATGGTGTGAGGGAGTTCCTGTAATTAGATAGTTTAAAGTCTGTTAGAAACTGCAAATATGACAACACATAGCAAAGCAATTTTAATATAGGGATCAAATAGAAAGAAAATTATGGAATCATGACAAAAGTGATAGATTCCCTGTTGAATCTCGGTGTGATTGGCCTAATAGTCTATGCTGAATGAGGTTAGCTAGTAAAGACAAACCTCGTTCTTATTGCTCCTATTGATAACCGTGTATTATAGTGTATGACATCATAACAAAGTAGAATAAGACAAATGTAGAAGAATGTATGCAGTGCAAGTTATCCAGAAAAAAATGTAAATAGGCTTCCATTGCAGTGTGAAATGACAAACATTAACCAAAGAGCAAAGGGAGGCTACAGTTTTATGGTATCACAAACACACAGCAGACATAAGGATTTCTTTGAGTGTGATTTATATGAATGTGAGCAACATTGTTCATAATAAAATGTCAAAGGTCGAAGTCTGTTTTTTAGTTTTGAAAGGCAGTTCGATTGGATGTGAGTTGAGATGTTGCAAGGAGTAGAAATAGGAAGGAGTAAAAAATTAGGGTCAGTGTGCAAAAGAGCTGCTGCTAACTGTGAAGTAATGAAGTTGGTCAATTGTTATAACTAAAATAAGCTAATTCAACAGTCAACATGAGATGAGGAATTAAAAATAAATTGACAACCAATTGATTTGAGCATGGATATGAACATGGATAGAGAGTTTTTAGCCCTGAATTAATGTGAGAGTTTCCAATGTGATGTGAGACATAAACATAACCAAATTGTGAAATTTGAAAGCAGATAAGAGCAAATGCAAAAGCAGCACTATAACATAAGTATGACATTTACAATGTCTCACAGGAACTATATGGATACGTGTATAAAAGAAAGTAAACTACAGCTAAAAGTAGAGACTTTTACCAGCAATTTTTGAAATACTGCTAAATATGTGGAATTGATAATCATTGTGACCTATATTTTGGTGTGAAAGTGAGATGTAGACTGACCTTTTAGACCTTTTTGGTTGGTGTGGGTGGTTCAAATTTTGGTGGCGCATTTGAAGAACCAGTTGCAGTAGTTGTTGCCATCACTTCTACCTCACTTATTTCCAAAGGCTTTATCTTTTTAGAAGTCCTATCAGTAGTGCTCTGTGGAGTATGTTGTTTTTCCATGTAGCAAAGAACGGACAAAGTTGCATGCGTGATATTTCAGCTGGCCCAAGATGACTTCCTTAGCTGAATTTCGAATACTTTGTTTGACAACATCTCATGGACATGATTAAGAGACAATGATTGTCGCTGTAAATGTAACAAGTTAGAACAAATAGTTTAGAACAAAGCATATGTGGTAAAGTGTTTGTGCTGAAGATATATGGTATTATGACAATACGTGTGTACAAGTAGCCAGTGGGAATGAGAGATAACCTTAGTGCAAGTTATGTCAAATATGTCTTCTGCTGTCATGGACAGTAATTTTTCTCCCAATTCAGCAGAGATAGATGCTGTGGTTGTAGCAGTACCGTCAATAAGATCAATTTGAAAGCTACAGCTGAAATGATGGCAAGTTTGAAATATGTGTATAATATATGCTATATTTTGTAGAAAGTGCTATTTAGAATTCAAAAGTATAGTACCGAGGCACTAATGCTGTTTTCCGATTGCATTTTGGACATTCAAAATCCTTTCTATCCTTTGTGCGCTTCTTCTGTTTGCATCCTGAGCATTCAAGTACACAAAAGTCTTGGAATTCATCTAATATGGCCATTTCTGCTTCAACATAGAACACTCCCATCTGTCGGAAGTTTTGATTATTTAGGCAAAGCTAGAGAATGAGAAAATGAATAAGGATACTCTCAAATGAGCAGCTTCAAGTATGACTTACAGAAGGCGCTGATGAGATTTCTGCAATAGAGATAACTTGTTGGCCAGCAGGAGTCACTATCATGGGAGCGACATATGAGCTTGTTGAGGTTTTCTCTGATGCACAACTTAACAACATTGTTTTCTTTTCTTTTGCCCTATTGTTAGAACAGATAATATGTTTAGTAGGTTCTTTACATGCAAATTAAAGCTATAGAATAAATATGAAATGTGAGTACCAGTTGATGAGTGCCACTGCTTGTGGGTAATTCGGATTCACACGTACTGTGGAATTGTACCTAGTCTGCAGTGACAATCCTGTATAACACATAGGTTGTATAATGTTTTGTTATTATCTAAAATTATGTTGGTAAGAAGTTCAGCGCATGTGTACCTTGATAAGTAGAGATTCCTATACTCCTTCCGAGGATTACAAGTAGATCTGCCTCTGTTGCCATTTTAGAGGAAATTTCATGTCCTTCTATTTCTCCGAAATCCTCCCATAGAGTGAAGAGAAACTGATTTTTCCTGAGAGTGTGAGAACATAAGGAGAGAAGAGTAAGTACTATGATAACGCTTAGACGATAATTGATGATGTGAGCAAACAAATGCAAAAAGTGGTTACTGATTCAAAATATTTGTAGAAAATGGGAAAATAGAATGTCAAATGTTATACTTACTGATTGTCACAAAGGGTAATTTCTCAACACCTATGATGACTGTGACCTGCGTTTTTTTGAGGACCACAACGAAGAACGATTGCTAGTATATCTGCGTATATAATACATAATGAAATGTTGTAAGTCTTGTGTAGCAGTAAAGATGTATATTTCAGTCTGTTAATAGCTATTAGGATGGATGTACCAATTTCAGCAGCAGAATCAACCATCAGATGAGGAATGCGGTCAAAGCTTGTGATATTCAGCTTGGTTGGCGGTGGAAGTGGATTTTCAACTTCATTAGATGGTTTGATTTCTTCAATTACTGTTTCTTTGTCAAGAATCCAGTAAAATTTATGTATTGGCTTGCCGTATGAAGTTGGTGAGACTTTCACTCTTGCAGTAGAGATGAGGTAGGTATTCATGAGTTTAAGCTTATCTGCATACTGCTCAATTTCGCCAGCATACATAACTGCCTTAATCTGGCATTCCTGAAAGTAAGAGTTATAGAAAGTTAAGATTAACTAAGTTGAGAGGAAAAAAGCAATATTCATAAGATTCAAATCCAATCTCGTGTTGCTGGTTCTATTTGGTCGATGTTCAATCTTAGTACCATGTTTGTAGGAAATATAGTTAACCAAATAGTAGTATCTGCAGGATAACATGAGTATTCAGTCAAAGTCCTTGGTTTTTTGTGTTTTTATGAACATGGGTGATTAAAGTAGGGACATGCAACATTGTTTCATCTCTTTAGACAAAAGAAAATAAGGAATCAAATGAAAGCAACACCGTGGAGTAAAATGCAGCTTCTAGCTGCATAAATGAGCTTTTCATCTAGTAACAAAGCATTAAGAAACTCTTGCAAAAGCAAGTTAGGACAAACACTGAACATAAAGTACAAACTCATAAAAGATCACATATGATGTATCATACTATTTACTTTTCCTGCCATCTTCATATCGTAACCATGTATGTGCTATTAGTTCTTTGTGAATCATGAGATACAGCTGTACAATTTCAGAATGTGAAAGTAGGAGATTGACAATCTGATACAAACAAAGCACCTACACCCAAAATGACCAAACAAAGTATACTACTTTAGAGTTGTACCTCTTACTATTCGGTCCTATGACATATAAACTGCACAAACATAATAAACTTTGTATGTTCTATAAAAAAACAAAATAAAGAACAAATAAAAAGAAAAACAACAGTGTTGTCATAGTAGAAGTACAGTCATGCGTAAATTTGTTAGGACCCTTTAGTGGAGCTCAATGAAGACATAAAATCAGTTAGCAGTCATTATTAATGTACAAAGTATAATTGGACAACTCTTTTTTCACAGAAAATCTGTTACAGGGACAGAAATTGTTGTAGATTATTAAAACATCAATAATTATCTCTGAAACTTGAGTCAAACCACTATACATTTGGAAAAAACAATATGAAAAAACTTTTAAATATGTTGGTTGGACATGATATTGTATCACAAAAATGTCTTCTATAGCACACCACCTCATATTAAAGAAAAAAAGAAAAGAAGAGATGCAGAAGCTAGTGAAAAGTGCTTTAATTTTCATCATTCTGATGAAGTCTGAGTGTACTGCGTTCATTGCACTTGAACCTCAGAAGACCCCGTATAGTGTTTACTGAAGGCACTATCTGATGGCTTATGTATGACTTAGTATCATGGAAGATACAATTTGCAAAAGAGAGCTAATCTGTGACATTTATATCCAAAGGCAGCATTTAGCCCTACCAAAAATGTTTCCTATTTTTGATAGAAACTAAACTTTCATGCTACTATTTAAAATTTCAATAAAAAGAAACCAAAACAAAAGACAAAAGAAAACAGCTATCCTGCAGATATTTTTATCATGTTGGGCATCAAGTTAAAAGCATACTCCTGGGCCCACGGTATATCTACGAAAGATTGAATAGTATTGAAAGCATTAAATATGAACCATCAAACATGAAACTCATAAGGGAGGCTATTACTTTGGCTTTTACATTTGCAATATCAGTACAAATGTAATACCAGAGTAATTGACGTCCAACTAATAACTGTAATTTTTATCTATTTTGATGAAATATTAATGTTGTTGTTGTTGTTGTTGTTTTGGTGAAAAGCAAAATCTGGAAGAAAAATTGAAAATGGGAAGAGGGAAAAGATGAAAAGGGAAGAAATAATACCTGAGAAAGGGAGCAAAAGTTTTTCTTGAATGAAAGGCTATTAAATTTGTGTTGTATGAGTAATATATATATAAGGGTAATATTATATATTATATATATAAATGTGTATTACCTTACCCTTATCTAATTTGTTATTTTTATTTTAGAAATATAGAAATTAGAAAGGACAAAAAAACTACATGTGTCTTGTTAGAAATTCATGGGGTTTTGGTTGCCAATGAAATTCTGCCAAAAAAGATAGAAAATTAGTACATTTGGTAGTCAAAAATGAGACAAAATGATTACATTTGACTACCTAATGTAATGATTTTGTCTGTTTTTTGGCATAATTTAATTGGCAACCAAAACTCCATTAATTTTGAAGAAGAGAGATGTAGTTTTATTGTCCTTTCTAAATAAGGATAAAAAATATCTATCTATCTATCTATCTATCTATATATATATATATATATACATAATTTAATTGGCAACCAAAACTCCATTAATTTTGAAGAAGAGAGATGTAGTTTTATTGTCCTTTCTAAATAAGGATAAAAAATATCTATCTATCTATCTCTATATATATATATATACAGACACACATCAAATCATGTGTCATCTTGTTAGTATGGTAGCAAAAATAGTATAACATTAGCATTTTGTTTTTACTGTAAAATTGAATCTAGGATGATATTTTCCTCTTGTGTAGTGAAGAGTCGAACATGCAGTATGCAGTGGAAGTCTCAAGAAGAAAGCTAACTGCATCTTTACTCCAATTTGTGAAGGCGACTGTAGGTAGTGACGACTTTTTACCTTGTTCAGATAGTGCAATATGCGATCTTCAGTCTCGCTTTGTCTCAGTTGATTCTCCATCCATATGACTGCAATTTCACAAGCAAAGCACATATCATCGTGTAGTCCTGCTGATCTGTTCTACTGCAGAAGAAGGCCACAGAAAGATCCAGCATTTATATCAACAATGTGATGAATTAACTAATAGACTACATGGTCCCAGCAGGGCAGATAGAGTGTGAAGACTAACTTAACTGACTCTGTCAGTTCCATTAAAAGTGCATATTTGAACCTCTGAGCAGACCTTTGAATGTGGCTATTTAAAAGGTGACTAATGAGATAATGGGGAAAGACAAATAGATACCAGCTGCTATTGCGCAGGAACTGCACATTAAACAAATGAAAATGCAGTAAAAAAGTTCAATACTCACCTCTTCTAATAGCAAATCTGTGATTGTTCTTTTATTAGTTTTTTGGAACAATTGCACTTATGATATTAAACTTAAAGGCAAATACAAAAATTTCATTCATCTCGATTGTTTCTGATGTACCAGATACGCTGTTGATTGATAAAGAAAAATAGTAATCATTTGAAGAGTTGGTTGTATTGTCAATAGATACTTTTAAATGTAGTAAGATTTCACTTACTTCAGTGATAGTTATGTTTTCTAAGATGCTCACCGAACAATACATCTATATGAAACTAATTTAGCTGACAATCTGCTCCTACAGATATAATCACATTCACAGAATTAAAAAACCAAGGGCAGTTATTCTCATATGATGTCCTTTCAGCTTTGTTTTTACCTATGGAAAGGGATCATAGTTGATGTGATTGAATTCAAATGAAATTCTGAATTAGTAATATTCCAAAAATGAGAGAATGAAATAAATGTCTGAATAGCTGAACCTGGGCAACTTGGGGATTATATATCTTGATGGAGGAGTGATCCATTTTTATGCCAATGACATTGTATGTTGAGGATAAAATTCGGAAAAGGTTATTGTGGGTGGAGGGGGAATAAATATTGTCATAGTCTGCATTTGCAAGAAAAATAATATAGAGATTAGTGGAAACTAAAACAAAGCAAAATAATATATATCTTCATGCAACTAATTCTTCATTTATAGCTTCTTACTTGAACTGTTAGGCTAAAGGTAGATAATGCATTTCCCTAAAAGTAAAAGACATTTGAATGCATAATAAGTTGACAAACACACAGAGATCACTGCTGCTCTATTGTTATAACTAAAATAATGTAATTTAGATTCTTCATTTGCAATATATGTTGAACAATGGATCTAAAAACATTTAGAAATTAGGTAAATCATTAGTGCTAACCTGAGATACCATTCTTTCAATTGTTGCTTTAAGACATTGAATAAGTTTTTTTCGTTGTGCGTCTGACTTTACCAGGAAACATGTATATGTCTTATGCAGTACTCCTTCAATGAGAACAAAGTTTGTAATATTAGTTGACAAATGTTCAGAAGAAATAAACCCTGAAAGGGATTTCAAAACAAATAGAAAATTGTGGTACCTGGTGCAGTATTGGTACTTCAGCATCTACATTAGCGATGAGGTGCCAGCTGATTGAAGCAGTGTGTACAATGTCATTGTTGCAGCACTTTGGTGATGTTCCTATAGATTCTTATTATCTTCCTGGTAAGAAGTTCAGTAAGCACATTCATCTTTCGTCCAAATTGAAAACGGCTGACCTACAATGGAAGAGAAAGTATGTGCTTTAGGATATATATATGTGTGTGTTCTGAAAATTAGGAAGAAGAACAAGTTAAAAGCTGCAATGAAAATAAGACAATGTATGCTCTAATTGACTGTATTCTTTAAATATATGAACTCTCTCTTTCAACTGATGACATATGAAATACAGAAGAGTAGAGAAAGCTAGTGTTTACAATGAACATGTGTGCTATAGTCTTAAATTATAAGCAAACTAAATACTTCAAATATATAATATGACACTGTGCAAAAAATGAATGTAAGATAACATATTATTACCTCTGACTAATGAATATTTTCAATGCCTTTGCCTTTTCCTTTACTGGATCTGAAACTTCAGTGATAGTCCTTCTAGCTTTCTCCTACAGTAAGCGAAATTCATAAATGTGTATTTCACATTATTAGGGACTTTAAATGTGAATGATTCGAGCCTATATGATTATGGGAAGAATTGAGTATACTAAGTGGAACAAAAATGCTAAAGCTTTATATATATTTGGAAAGTAAATAAATTAAGTTGTAAGAAAATATAGAAGATTAATTTTTCACCAAACTTGAAATGTAAATTTAGACAGAATATGCTTAAGAGGAAAAAAGTATGTACTTTTGATGGAACTCACAGAGTTAGTTAAGTTAGTCTTCAGACTCTATCTGCCGTGGTGGGACCATGTAGTCTATTAGTTAACTCATCACGTTGTTGATATAAATGCTGGATCTTTCTGTGGCCTTCTTCTGCAGTAGAGCAGATCAGCAGGACTGCACGATGATATGTGCTTTGCTTGTGAAATTGCAGTCATATGGATGGAGAATGAACTGAGACAAAACGAAGGGGAGTTATTCTCTTATGATGTCCTTTGAGCTTTGTTTTTACCTATGGAAAGGGATCATAGTTGATGTCATTGAATTCAAAGTAAATTCTGAATTAGTAATATTCCAAAAATGAGAGAATGAAATAAATGTCTGAATATGCATGCAAAATTTGTGAAATGAAAAGATAGAAGCACCCAAGCAGGAACAAAAAAAGTGTTGGCAGGGTGATGTATTCAGAATAAGAAGATGAAACAGCAATAACGGAGGATTGTCTTTTCTACCTAGCAAGTTAGCATGATAACTAAGGTTCTCGAAGTGTACTAACAACCTCGGCTCATCCTTCCTGCAACTATGTATGATTCCACACATGCATTGTGGTTTCTCGGCATGAGAGTAAACGACAGTTAGCAAGAAATTCATTCATCGCTTCGTAAATGCACAAGCTAAGTTTAGGTACATGAGGTAATTACTTTAACCATGATAGAGACAATAGATATTAAGATAAGTAGAATGAACTATACAAAGTTACAGGAAAGGAAGAAGCAACCCAATTTTTACAAACTTACAGGAAAGGAAGAAGCAACGTAATATATTTTTTGGGTTATTATAAACAATGAGAGTACAGTCTGACCAATAGAAAGAGCTAAGATAAACAGCAACATAGAGAAATGTACAAACTTCTAAAATGTTTGATACAGAAAAAAACTGATGAAATTGAGAGCGACAAAAGCAGAAAACATTGTAATAGAATTATCGGTAGTACACATAATTTCATTATGGACAGAGTCGGATATAAGCAAGTATAATGTTATGGTACGGAAAAAGTAAAAGAAACTGTTACAATAAAATTAGAGAAGATGAAACATAGTTTAAAAGTGTAATTTGTTTGCCAATATTGAAATCCTAGACCAAGAAATCAACAACTTATCCTATGAGAAATGGAGAAATTGGGCAGATATTTTGAATATGAAGTTCGTACGCTTCATCCCTGCAAAATACTTTCATTTTCTTCTGTTGATTTAAAAAAATAACTTAACAATTTGAAAGAGTAAAGAGAAAAGAGAAGAAACTCAAATTGTTAATGCAAATTTTAAAAGTATTGAACAATTCTATTTTCATTAGCTTCATCTTGAACTGATTTTGAGATTCCAAATGACATACACTCAATTGACCACCCTTGTGTATGGCCACATATTATTGTTCGACAATAATAAAAATTGTGGAAGTGTTATTAGTTGTACCATGTTTATGCAACTTGTGCACCTTAGTAAAAGAGTTTTCTGAACAGACACCTCCAAGATGAGCACCCAAATCCTTGTTAATTGATAAGAATTGTTAATTCTCAAGTGAACTGATTATATCTAATTGTTCAAAATATTTTCACTATTTCCAACTCTAGTGGCTTTCTATGATTTGTTGTAGTTGTTTCTTGTAAGTAGTTCTAATTATCGAGCAAATTTTAAAGTGTCTACAGAAAGAGAAGACACTCAGTAACACATGGATTTGCCATTGAAGAGTTCAGATCTAGAAAGAAGAGTTGACAAAATAGATGAAGCTTAGCAGAGGAGGAGAGACAAATCTATAGAGAATTGTGAGATGATAGTGCGAAACTTGTAGACAAAGTGAAGCAAAATGAGACACCAATTGTGAGATGATAGTGCAAAACTTGTACAGAATTTGAAGGAAAATGAGACACGTGTTTATTTATCACTGAAAAAGGCCCTAATTGACTGTACAATTTTGAAATACATCTATATGAAATGAATTTACCTGACAATCTGCTCCTGCAGATATAACCACGTTGATAGAATGCAAAAAGCAACGGCAATATAAGACGGAGAGAAAATCTGATAAGCTCCATTAAAGCAAAAATGTATTGTACAATAAGATCACAAAATTAAGATGAATTAACGTGAAGACAATTAGGTGTGGACTTTAAAGTGGTTGTCCATATTTCCTTTCTAAGGCCCTTCTCATCATACTTAAATACTTTGCTCAAGAAGACTCTAAAAGAAGGAATCTATGGCTACTATAGAGTAAGTTAATAACTATTCTTTGATCAGACTAACCTAAAGCACTTAGTAGCTCATTTCTAAGATAAAGGACCATGAGATCAACATAAAGAGTTTCCTACTGAAAACGCAACAAATCAAGAAAAGAGGAAGGGTAAATAAACACTTTGTTCTTCCTCAAAATTGTCACGTATAGTCTCTAATAAGATAGATCAATAGTAGAAAAGATCATTAATCTCAACAATTTCTATTGAAGTTACTAACGTTTCAAATCTCATTAAGTTTCTCAGTAATCCATATGCTTTCAAGGCTTAAATACATATTGACATGACGATAAATATGAGGAGAATAACCTTTATGTGAATTATGTTTCTGTAGAAATCAATATGAATGTGGAAAAGAGTTTAGAACTAATTGAATGATTTTCATGGGCTGATGAGTGAATTGAGAAGAACTAAAACATGGTATCTTTCTCAAACCTCCCTCACAATGTGAGCTCATATCGTGAGAGATAAAGGTTGATTGGCCAGGACATGGGCCTTGTCACAGGGCAACACAAGACACTTCATTTGAACATGATTATGTTAACACTTTAAGAGTGAATCTATTTTCAAGCTCAATTACTATCCTCCATGTCCTGATATTCAAGAATTCAATGCCAAAAAATTGATTGGATTTGGAGTAAATACCGATCCACAAATCATATCGATATTAAGATCCAACAACACATCCAACCTTCAAATTTTACAAAAAAAGGACCACGGAATTTCTGTACCACGAAATATTTAGAGATAGCTAGGTAATTATTAAAATGAATATAGTCAAAATAGTTGAAGTAATATTTCTGAACTGACCTAGTTCGAAGGTAGATAAGCAACTAACTATATGTTCTCCTCTAGTTGAAGTACCTGGTAGGTTTGTAGGTTTGGAAGCTGCAACTACAAAATGAGCAAAATAAATGTATTAAGAGTAGGTCAGTTGAAGTGTGTAACTATAGCTATAGATATTCAGAAGAGAGATTTCACAGAAGGAAGATAAGAATATGCTTAGCTAACCTTGTTGAGGAGATAACGAAGAAGTGCTAATTGTAAGAGCGGCAATACTATTTGATTGATGAAGGGTTTTTTGTCTTTTTGATTCAGCCGTTTTTTCTCTTAGCTGGGATAAAAATAATTCTTTTCTCTCCGGTGACATTTGTGCATATCTAGTACGTCGACGGAAATTTCTGTCAGAAGTTGTTTCTTGGGTAGGCACATTATCTCTATTTTTTCCATTCCTGTTTCAAGTAAGTTCCATCTTATCTCCATTTTCATGAAATAAAATCTAAATAAGAGAAATTGCTAAAAGATTGCACGCACTTCCTAGCTTGAAAGGTTGTTATAATATGCTTTTGAGGTACAGCAATATAAAGAGGTTTCATGAGTGGTGGTTTCGTGGGGGAGTAGAAGCAACTATTAAGATTATGAGTTTGGGGCAATAATTTTTACCAACAATTCCATTAAATGTACAGAAAACATGTGACTGTAAATCAAATCCATCGCTAGAGCAATTTATAAACTTAAAATCTTGAATCATTCTTTGTCATAGCTACTTAAAACTAACCAAAAATAGGAGAGGGCAAATAAAATAGACGCGATAGTACTGGTGAAGGCATTTTCTTTCCATTCTTAAGATGGAAACTTTTAACCAAACCTATACTAATTGTAATCAGAAAAAGAATATGATATTTTGAACAGAAAATGGTCTGATAAAATCTTAACAGAGGCAAGTGCAAAAGTCATGCAGCTAAGGAAAAAAATGTGATATTTACAACTGATAAACTCATCAGTATATCATCATCAATTGACAGTGTAGGATTAAAACTCATACTATCCAGCACAAGCAATATGGAGCTGTCGTCACACAAATACACATATTACTGTAAAGGTTGTCTTTTCAAATGAAAACTTTTGACATGTTGTAGCTCCTATCAGACATAATTTAAGGAATGGTGTCTAATGATGTACTCTTAATTTTTGTGACCTTAATTTTCATTAGCCCTGTTACAAGCAAGCCAATTTTTTTTTTTATGTGCAGTGAACTATTTCAATTTAGAACAAACTACTTTCGTGCAGGCTTTCAAACAGAAAAGCTTAAATAACTAATTTTTGGCAAACTTAAATGTAGGGCATAAGAATGTGAAAAAGGTAACCAAAATAATAGGCACCTAACCAAAATGTTATTACTAAACGTTTGAGAATTTGGTTTGTAGAGCCTTCACCTATTCTCGTTGATTTCTTCTCAATAAGATTGACTGCTAAAATATTGACGCATTAGTGACCACACAAATTTTGTTCACGGAACCCTTGTGTATTTCAATTGTGTACGTTTCTATGTCACATCTAGTCAAACGAACATATGAAGACAACAGTAAATGATTTAAACATAAACACAGGTGGGATCAAATCACATACATTTGAAACATATTTTTTCACCAAAAATAAACAATAGAGAAGAGACTGGGCTTGCGTTGTAATAACATACCTTTTGAGTTGCTGACTGATATGGGACAGAAGATTTAGGTTCTAAAAAAAGCCAGAAAAATTGTGTTAGTAGTTTTCACATATATGATCAAACATGTTGGACGCGTATAATGTAAATACCATACATTTGAGATATATCAATGTAGCATTTGGGAAAATAAGAATTACAATGATAAGAATTGAAACAGAATAGTGTAATGTGTTTTGTAAGAAGCAATTTGAAGGAAAAAAGCAAATTATTTCAACATAAGAACTTAGTTATCTTTAAATTGAAGGACATACAGACATAAATATATATGGAAACAAGAATGAGAGTAGCCACCATCATAGGCCCTTTGTCAACAGCTGGACAGATTAGGAATAGAACATGTCTATGACATCGACCTTCTATCACATTCATCCTATATAAGTCTAATTAAATTAGTTTTCTCTCTTCGCAATGATTCTTTAGCATAAAGAATATTTGGACTGTAATTCTTCTTTTCAAACTAATAAAATAACTTATCACGGTTTTCACATATGAATGT